CTTTATTGTGCTCTTCTGGCGACAAGCGTCGAGGTGGAGAAAAATGTCACCTTCCAAAGATGTTTGATGCGATGATGGGGTGCAGCCTTTATGTTTAAAATAACTGTAAACTCGATGTAGTTTTAAGGTTCTTTTCAAGATATTTGGATTAATGTTGGACTGGATTCTGAGGCATGTAGGGTGAATAGCAGCTCTTATTGCAACTGCAAGGTGCTTATCTAGCCTAGCATTTGATATGAACTGATTTCGGCTTACTACCTTCCGATGCACAAAACCCGTTAGCCGTCGACCTCTCCCTTATCCATCGTCACCCATCATTACCCATCGTCACATCATCGTCACATCATCGAATAACTGCACCTTATTCTTGCCTTATAATCACTTGTAAGTGCACTTAGAAAACAAGAAATACATGTAGTCTTCAGTCACACAAAGCCGTATTATGATCTCTGGCCTAATCAAATTCGGTACTGTACTTCACCAGTAATGCACTTCATTGTGTAGTCCAACAATACCAATACTAACAACTGGTTTATGTATGGCTTAGCTTAGTTTCACTGAAGGGTTTCGGAACAAAACAACTTGTGACAGCAGTTTCCGGCAAAGGCTAGTGATCATCCAGGCTATTCCCCTCCGGCCGACGAGCTGAAAGCTCGAGGAATTCCGCTGCGACTTCAATGAGTCCTGGACCACTGCGGGGATTCAGGAAACGAGGCGGCTGACCGGCTGGCCAGGGACACAGTGGGCGTGGAAAAGAAGCACCCCTTTAAACATTTCTTCTCACGGGAGAAAGGATATATATGCAGGAAAATCTACCGGAGCGTAAAAACAATAACGGAGGAGCTTGAAAAACGGAGGGCACCTGCGCTATATCGACCGAGGCCGGCTATCTAGCAGGTCCCTGCATTACGCCTAAAGGCATCATCATCACCCTGTATAAGCAAGCTACTTTATGTGCCCAATCCTACCCAGATCTATCGATCGCCTCCTCACTATGGCTCGACATTATGTTTCGCCAATCGATGCGTTGTAGTAACAAATCGACAGTTCCTTGAATCTACGTTTTGAGTCGCGCAATATAGATATTGACAACCAGCACGCGGTTCGTAATACCATTGCCGAACAATCTACATAGCTTGTCGAATCATCGAGCGATGTACGCCCTTATATTGATGCTGATTCCAACAACAAATTTCCAGATCAGCTATTCGATTAATACAAGCTTCTGAACTTGAGATCGGGAATTTTGCCGGTCTAACGATTACGGGCCTTGGCTGGGATGGATACAGAGGTCTTGGCAATGCCGTCATAATGCTTGCATTATAACATATACACGGGCGCCAGTGAGAAAGATGACTTAAAACCTCGCACTGTCAACCCAGAGCATTATCTAGCGAGATTTGGTCCTGGAATATTGGATTTGAGCCATCAAGAGATCCAGTACTAAGAACAATGCAGTTAATGAGGATCAACAGGTATGTCCCTTCATGAGTTTAAACCAGGATAACAAGGATTATTCGCTGAATATAAACAACCAAACAGTCTATCTCACTACCAAAACCTTCGCAACGATTGTGTCTTCTTGATAGTACTATTTCATGAGGGCTCAGAACAGGACCACCTCTTACGAAGTGCTGTTGATTTTTTGCAATCGGATACAGAACTTGAACTACCAGATATTTACACAGTCGACATAAATGAGCATAAAGAGCTATGCAAGACTCAAGGGGTGGACACAACAATGCTACTTCTTCTTAAAGATGATTGCGAGCTCGATCGTTTCTTGAATCCGAACATTCAAATAGTAGAGTACTTGGTTTCAAGGGTGCTGAATGATGTGGTCAAATTTTGAGATCATTTATGACTTAGAGCCACAATCTTGTCGAAATCGCGCTACTGCCTCTTCGAAACTTCACTGGGAAAGGCTGTTTCATAACGAGGGCTTGCGCGACCGATGCAGAGTTTGTTCATTATTAGTGCAGACCTAGGAGATGAGTAGCAAAAGTATTCCACAGTACCTATAATAACCCAGTATATGTCCTTCAAGCAAATCATCTATGTGCCATTTATCTCTATTTACCTCTTTGACTGAGTCATACCTGAAAGAATTTCAATAAAAGGTGGTACAACCCAGTCGTAATGCTATCTGGCCACCACAATAAATGTCAAATTGGTCTTTCCCATCACAATGAAAAAGTCTCTAAAGAGTAAACTCGCTTTGACAAGACTCGATGTATACAAATCGGGTAATCGCAGCATTTTACAATGAT